CAGTTCATACTGTCCTGACTGAGCACACGCACCTGTAACCTTGGCTGCTGTGCTCTCAGTGTTGTGTCTCCCTGTTCCTGCCTGTTGGCGTCAGCTGATAGAGGTGTTATGATTCCATCTTGTTATGCACAATGTTGATTATTCTCTCTGAACTAGCTAAATACATGGGTCTGGGGTAGAGTCCTTCAGAATTGATTTGGCATCTCTACCGTGAAGTCAGAACCTCTGACTCTTTGACTTGTTTTGTGAATTCTCCGGCCGAAGCTCCAAATAAACCCATCAGTGTTTGCCATCAAAGCTCCAGCTCTCCCCGTGTCTCCTTTGAGTCGGTGACTCCTCCTGCATTGCTACACAGAAGTTTCCCCCACATCCTGTGTATACTGTGATGCCCCTGTGGGTTCATCTAGAGAGGGTGTGTCTGTGCTGTCTTGATTGCCTTGATTGCAGTAACTCAGGGCACCGGGGCCTGGTGCCCTGCAGCTATGTAAAGCCTCTGCTCCTCTCTGTCTATACTAAAACCTTTCAAATTGATCTGACGCCCATGTGGTTTGTTACTTCTGCCAAGGAAGTTATGTTTTCTGTTTCAATTTGGTTTGTTTGTTATTGGTTGTCTGTCTGTCTGTAGCATTACTGAAAAACTACAGGCTCAAGTTTAATGAACTTGGGGAAAGGGTGTAGGAAGAAAGGGCCAAGGAAGAACCCATTACATTTTGGAACTGACTCACAGGGTGGATACACACATTATTTTCCACTTATAACATCGGCCTCTGAGTGCCCTTCTCCTTTTTTTTTAATATATATATATATATATATATATAATACTGCCATGCAAGTACTGCAACCTCATTTCCTGATAATGGCTAATACCAATCTCCTTTAAAGTACCATTAAAAATGTCTTTACATGAGGATTATCTAATTGACATATATATCGAGGCAGCCAAGGATTTTTACTTTACCTTAATGGCATCCAGACAGCCGTGTTCCTCAGCAAGGACGGTGACAATGTCGTCCATGCAACCTGAGAAAGACAAACATATCACAGCGTGAGCTTAATTAGGCTTGAGAGTATATTGCTAAGTAATTACAATAATACTGTCCTTTATACTCACCCAAGGTCAGAATGAATTTTAATCTCTCACTGATCTCAATATTCTGCAGCAGTCGCCGACCCTGTAATTAAGTCACAGCATCAGAATTAATAGGGAAAACTATCCATAAAGTGTGAGTTCAGGCAAACCTAAAATGATATATTGTATTGATGTCTTTTTCTTGTGTGAAGAGGGTTATGAAGGTTTCTTACTGCACATAATTCAAACAGCAAAACCCCAAGAGACCAGACATCAGTCTTGGGTCCTGAAGGCAGAGGAACTTCATCATGGGAGGAGTCGCTGGTGTGGAAAGAGCCTTGAGCGATCACCTCTGGAGCGAGGTATGATGGGTACCTGAGGTCATGTTCACAGAGCAAATGAGAACATCACTGTGACACCTCAAAAAAAACATTTGCTCAGATACACAGTTTTCTGTCATATAAAAAACTGTGCAGTGGTGAAACATCACACCATAGTTTTTCATCCATTAGGGAGCTTTGTTTGATTCACTTCATACAACGTCCTTTCCATATTATGTCCAATAGTACAAATGAATATAGGATGTTCTCCCGACTATGATAAAACTAATAAATAATATAATATAATAATGAAGACAAAAAACACATTAATAATAATAATAATGCTAAACATAAATCATATTAATAACAATAATAATAATTTGTAAAAATGAAATTGACTTCAATTCTAATAATTAATTCATTATTTTTGTCATTTTTCTTGACTAACACACAGAAAATGCATCAATATGGAAAGAAGTCTGAATAATGGGTCGTCGCAGTACAACATCTACCAGACAACACTTGTTACTTTGTTTGTACGGGGATTTGAACCGGCGACCATAGGGTTCCTAAAGCCAAGTCCCTGTAGACTGAGCTACTGCCGCCCCATAGGGTGATGATATTGCACACCTTTCTATCATTATTCATCCTTAAATGCATAGCTTTTTGACACATTTATCACATTTTCCATACAGATGTTTTACTGGAAGTCACGGGCATGTGCCATCATTCCTTTCCAACCTGCAAAAGGATATTACAAAGAGATACTTGACAGGGCAAAAGGGCTTTTGGATTAGGATAAAAGTCCAACAATCTGTTACAGTTTCAAAAGCAGGAAGCTCTTTTGATGCCCCATAAGCTGGTTTCTATGAAAAAAGCACGGTCGATTATGCATGAATGTTATGGTCAATGCCTTCTTCATGATTCAACTAACAGCAAACAGATACAAGTGATCCTTTGACCCTGAACAGACTGCTCACATAGCTCAATCCCAGCAGCTGAGGAGTACCAGAGCACCATTGGACCTTTCCCTGTGATGAATGAGGAGGAAAAGACGTACCCAATGGGAAAATCTACATCGGCTCCATGATCAGTCATGTGATAAAGGCCAAACTTTGCCAGCTTGACATTCCCCTACAAAGAAAAAACAATACATTTGAGTGACAGTGTTACTTACAAGCACATATTGGACAGACTTCAGTCAGTAAAAGTTAGACGTACATTAAAAAGCTCAATGTTACCTTGCAGTCCATGAGCACATTGTGTGCGCTGAGGGCTCTGTGCACCATGCCATGTTTGTTCATAAAGCCCAGACCTTCAAGGAGCTCATAGGCTACCTGCAGCACCTTCTCTGGGCTATTACAGACACAAAGACAGCAGTATGTCAAACAGAGTTTTCATGATAAAGATTTCATTTACATTTTTTTTATTTTGGACGTTTTAGACGTTTGAATAAACATATTATGCAAACCTATCATCAGCCAGTAGATGGCACGGTGAACGCATTGTATTACCGTGCACCATCATATATAACATATTGTATTAGCACTACAAGGTTTTAGCAATAGCTGCTCACCAGTGATAACAAAGGTAGAAAACAACATTGGTTCATCAGATACAGTGTAGTATAATTACTTTTAAATAGTCTGTTTTGACATTTTTAATGGCAATCCCACCTGGCTTTTTTCCCCTGTTTTTGGAAATCACTTAAACTGCTTTCAAAGTGTTCAGCAACAACAATCAGTCTTTCTGTAAGGCAAGAAGAAGAAATACAAATAAAAACTGAGTTAGCAATGATGTATTGATATTCATTTATAATACGAGTATTTATTTTAAACCTCTACAATAAAATGTGAAGTGAAAATGCATCAGATTTTTATCTAAATCCAACAAAATTAAGAAAAACTGCTATTTTTGATTATAAGTAATCCTATTATACTACATGAGGGCATTTCCACAGCAGAAACTATCCCAGGACCAAGATATGTCCTTCCTTTGTGATGTTGTTGTGTTGGACTGCAAATAATGCAGTCCCTAAAACATTTTTTGTTCATTATCAATACAAAATCTGTTACTTAATCACAGCAAACGTGATTACCACACAGAATTCTAAGTATGTTTTGGATAAGCTCAATGACAGGACACAAGGGGCATAATATCACTCAAATAAAACAAATACAATGTAATAACCTTCAAGGACAGGCTATGCAATTTAATTAGATCCCTTGCAAAGGACAAAACAGAAAGTCATACCGTGTTTCCCTCTGGAGATGTCCACATACTGGCAGAGTCTGGGATGAGTGACGGTTTTGAGGATTTGGAAACGTCCCAGGATCTTGATGGAGTTTGGGGTGAGAGGGAGGCCATTGCTCCCACAGACATCATGAGGAAGAGCTGAGGCAAAGAAGGTGAAGGCTCCCAGCTGGGCGTCTTTCAGGGGCCTCATCTTGCCACTGGTTTTAGCTCTGAAAATGGGAAAGATCTATTAAATGAATATATTTATAATATGCAATGATACACTCCAAGTGGACACATTATTAGTTGTATCTGTACAATGTCCTGCAATTCAACACAACAGCTCTGCTATTTATTCTATGGATATACAAAGTTTAAAAAGTTTAATTTAGTTGCGAGAAATGTCAATTGGTCTTATCATTTGTTGCATTATTGAGACAATTTCTAATATTTTTGTATACATTAATAAGTGCAGGTTATTATGAGTGCAGTGCGGTTCAGTACCACACCACAACTAAATACAATAGCTATGACTTCAATGCTTAAAAATAAATCTAAATAACACCTTTATGACAGATATATCATAGGCATTACAAAAGCAGAATTCAGGCAGAACAGTTTATTTGAGGATTGCATTAAATTGTACAGGTAAATGTAAAAAAAAGTAGCCATTGAGAGTATCACTAAGAATAAGGGAAGCATTGTGATCATCTACACACAATCAATCATATATTCATTTAAACCTTGTACATGTTTCTGTTAACGCTGGCTAATGCAAAACCCGTATTGGAACAAGTGAGAAATATGTGACTATGCAATATGTTTAAATCAACTTCAGAGAAAAATACACTATGTACACAGCGATGCTGCAGTTAAACCCACTGTGTGAATGTGACAGTTAGCTTAGTAAAATCATAACATCCCCCTTGGACCGGATAGTAAACAAACTATGCACTGTGGAAAACACCCCCAGAAAAAGTATAACGTTACTCACGTTTAATGCAAAATCTGCATTGCTATTTCAGCAGAATACACCTGGAAATACTGATAAAATGATTTGAAATGTTTTAAATGAATTCGTTTCCTGCCTTTGCAATGTGATGTGAACAGCTGACTGAACGTGATCAACGACGTAATATTTGTGCGACAAAGTTCGACAAAGCAGTGCACAAAAAAAAACATATTTACTCAAATAAAACACATTAAATTCAACACCTTAACAAATTAATTGTTCAATCCTTTTTTTTCGTATTTTTAGAAAAGTTATTTGATCATTGTAGTAATTACACACAGGCACTGCCCGTTGCCTCATTATATTCTGTGACAATATCCGATCTATAGAACAGGTGGATGGTAGTCACTGATATAAAATCTACATCCGCATACCGTAGAGATCTACTCAAGGGGCCTGATTCAGCTAGCTGCCTGTCTGTTCGTTGGCTAATGTAACGTTAGCAGGACTAGCAGCTGTCAAGCCCCCTCCTCCCCTGAAACGTGTTGAGGTAGCTGCTCAGAGTAAATGTAAGTTTCATACACCTCTGTGTTTTTATTTCATTGCATTTACTAACTGATCATAACCCGTCCATAACGTCTAACCTTACCAACCGTCGTGCTAGTTAGCTTATTGGTGCTAGCTACATGAGAGTTAGCATAAAGTCAACATGATTTTCCTTGTGTCAGTGTAGTTGAAGATACCAGTTCAATGTGGGCTGAACCGGTTTCTGTTTCAATTTCACGTTTACTAATGTTAAATACAAAATATTCTTCCATTCCCTACAAATCACATTGAAACCAAGTGCTTCAATTTGTAAAAAGATTGTTGTAGGAGCCATTTATGTGTATGGTTGACATGTCAATTTGTTTTATTACTGTGATTTGCAAATGACTGCATGTCCTAATCTCTATGTTATGTTCTAGATATAGGTCATGTAACAGGAGCCAGTATTAATATAAGTCCTTATACAGATATTCAGTTATACTATATGTGTAATATATATTGTTATGAATGAATTTACTGTCTGAGATCCAACATTTTGGCACCTTTCTAAATACAAACGTCTGTGCAATAACCATGCCTCTTATTGATTAACAAAAATAAAGAAGTACAAAATATTGCAGAGGACAATGGTGATTATAATGACATGTTATACTATCAACAGATACATAACCAGATCATGAAGGCAGGCACCATGGACATAGTCTTGTTACTATTTATCCTTTGTCATGTTTACAGGTGTTTTACAGTTTATTATGCAGACGGAGACAGTAATTGCTGTTTTATTATTGTCAATAATAATGCTCAATTTATTGCTCAGTTGTTACTGTTCTTCACACATTGGTAGATTGATTTTTGCCCGTGCAAAAAATACTTAAATGTAGTATATCTGGTGCTAAAGACTACTACACCACTTAAGGTGGTGCTGGCTTCCTGCTTTCTCTGCGTGTATAATGGTCTGGCTAGCAGACAGGTAGGGAAGTATCCTCCTACAGTATCTTTTTACTATGGGAATAAAGCATGAAAAGAGGAAACACTTGTATCCTGGTGGGTCGTTCTCATACCAGCGACATACAAGAGGAAGATGGTGGTAAAGTGTAACAGATTTGATTCAAACCACCTGTTCAGTCTGAGTTTAGCTCTGCAGTATTAGCTTTGATATTTTAATTTGAAAGGGGATGTAGACATAAAATGTTTGTCTGGGCTAATAAAAGCGCTATGACTCAGCTATCCAGTCGTGACTATTTTTAGGAGACTGATAATGCAGATGCCTTCTCCAGTTGGACGACAGCTGTCCCCTGTACAGCGCAGTACACTTGTCGCACTTTTGTAGACGAATCGAAGACATTTTGATTTTCATTCAGCCTAGAAAGGTAATTTCATCCTGACGGCTGCTGGAAGTCTCTTTCACTTTAACATTGTAAACACATTTGCTTTTTTCCATCTGAAATCAAAAGCTGAAATGACCGGCATGTCATGTTTATATGCTGCCGACCGAGCCTCGGTCTCAGAATCGCTTTCTGGGGTTATCCAGATGAGATCAGCCTTTTTGTGGCTCTTGTCATTACTCCAACACTGGGCCTGTTTAAATCAATTCAGTTTCTCCAAAAGCAATGCTTTGATCCTTGATTTTATCAACTCCAGCTCTTTTGTGTTTCTAATTTCCTCATCCCTTAACATTGTGTTTTCATCTCGAGCCAGCTGTTGTTTTCCAGCGCCTCCCTGTAATATGTGTAAGACGTTTTCTTCTCCATGCCTCAGCCTCGTAAAAATCCTTCTTTTCCTCTTTCTGCAAGAAGTCATTTGCCCAGCTCAAAATGATAAAGGAACGTTACCCTGTTTGGGTCGAGTGGCCCAAGAGTGGATAATGCCTTTAGAATTTAATATCCAAAACGACATGCAAATTATGTTGATGTTTACTGTGGTTTAAAGGATAAACTATATGTCACTTTGGACTTCTTGTTACTATGAAAGAAATAGGAAGACGTAGGGCTGTGCAATTAATCGTATTTTAATCGCAATTACGATTGTGGCCTGCCACAATTAGGAAAACAACATAATCGAAAAAAACTATTATTTAGCTTTGCTAGGTTGTGACAGTGCACTGCAACGTATTTGATCTCATTAATTTTGGTCTCATTTATTTGTATTTATCATATTTATATATGTTTAGTAGCTTGGGGAAGTGCGCTCCAAAATATTTGTTGATCTTGTTTATTGGTATTTATTATTTTGATATTATTTATTTAAATGTATCATTTATTTTATTTATTTTTGTATTAGTTTTTCAGTTGAATTATACGTTCAGGGTAATCAACAGTTAAAAAGATACTGTTCAAATTATTATTTGTATTTGTTTTAAAGTTCAATAAATGGATTTTTTCAAAGTCAATGAATAATCGTATTTAATAATCGTGATATCAATTATTGACCCAAATAATCGTGATTATGATTTTTGCCATAATCGCACAGCCCTAGGAAGACGCAATACTTTGTTTTGTTTTTTACGTTTTTCTTGTAACTAATCGAGCCACCAATCAGGTTTTCATACACTGAAATAATGCAAAAAATATTTAAAAAGTCAAATTTCTGATTCAAATTTAGCAAATGTATTTTAAAATGTCATGAAAGGAAACCATGAATATGTCTCAGCACGCAAGATCAGATTTTGTCACTTTTGGCAACGTCCCAAAACGACATTATATAATGAATAATATATATATAATGATATGTTTCAGAAAATAGGAAACCCCTGTACAATATAATGCTGTCATATAGGGCAGCCTAGCAAAACAAACCAGCTCGATAATTAAGATGTTCAGGTTTTGTTGAGACTGTCAGACAGAGGTTGACTTTACTCAGTGGTCGTTTCAGAGCCTGTAGTTTGTGGTGGCGTTGTACTGGAATGCAAACCTTGTAACTCCAAACATGTTCAGCATAGTACTTACCATCTCTTTTTTTACATGTTCATTGTCACTTGAGAAAAATGTAAAATAACATTGAATAGGGTAACTGCATCAACATTTGCCTCCTTTTAAAAACAAAAGCAAAGACCCCAACGGATTGTATTTCATCAAGTTGAAATGTATTAAATTCAATATATTTTACAGCTTTTGCATTTCGTTGTTTTGGAGTTTTGAGATTGCTGAATTGTTGTTTTTTTTCGTTAGGTTTTTAGCTCGCTCGCTGTTCAAGATGTCAGGTCACAATCCCTTGTTGAGGCTGGAGCAGCGAGCGTCTGAGGCGGACCAGATCATCGAGTACCTCAAACAACAAGTCCTGCTGCTGAAGGAGAAAGCCAGTAAGACACACTTGCACACACACACTTTGTACAGGGCCCATTCATTAAGCCACAGTCTTACAACATATATATCTAGGTTTAAGATAGCACACATGTGTCTGCATACACTTTTTCTGTTCAAAAAGTCCTTCTGCTGTGCTCAAGTGAGGAAGTGAGGTACCTGATAAATATCTGTATTGGCTGTAGAAGGGATTGATTTCTGGCTGAAGAGCTGCTTTCCTTCATATTCGCGGTCTCATAATTTAAGTGTGAAATTCTTGTAGGAGTACTAGCAGTTTTGAGAAACCTGAAGCCCCAGTTTTTGGGAAACTGCCTCTTAAATTTACAAGGATTGTCATTCTGAAGGTAATTCCAAGGTATTTTTAGGCATAACTAAAAAAAGAGTTTCTATTTCAGTCGTTTTGACCTGCACAGCAATATCATTCCAAAAAGGAAAATAATACACTTTTAAATATAATTTTAGACTCCATGGGACTATTTTTTTAATTCAATGTACAAATCATGGCTTCTTTAACTCCAAAAGAGACACACTGTAGATTTATACGCCACTTAATTTCAGTCAATATTATATTTGTTCTAGTTCAGCAGATCTTAAAAGGTCCTGTGGGATAGTGAAAACCCTTTCCAGTGCTGAGAGCTGACATTAATGTTCCTTCCTGCAGTCGTCCAGGCCAGTGTCAGAGAAGAGAAGAAGCTGATGGTGGAGAATGCCAAACTGAAGAATGACATTGACGATCTAAAAAAACAGCTGCTGGAAAAAGAAAAGAAGAGTGGAGGTATGTAGGGTTCAATTCCCAGAAAAGAAAACTTGCATTGTAGTCCAAATGTTTGTTTGCTTTTCAAAACATCTTGATGTCCAGTCATAGAAGCGGTTATGTGACATTAAAAACATTTGATGTTCATTATAGCATTGTTTGTTCTGCTATCAATGAAAAGAATCTTGTGCATTCTCGCCTCAGTCCATTATAACCGGATCTCTTTTTGTTTTTATTATAAGCAACCATAGTGCTGAAAGAATCCCCATTAGGGTGATGAGGACAACATGTCAGCTATTTCTGTGTCGGATACATTGACACCAACCGCTCTGATCATTAACAAACATTTCCAGTTTTCCAGGAAACACACTCCAGTGACAAGGGGGGGGGGGGGGACTGGGAGAAATAAGCAAATCTTAAAGGACTCAATATGTTGGTGTTGGAACGTAGAAGGAATGTGTTTCAATATACCCGAGACAAACACTGTAACTAATTGGGATGTTTATTTTTGGCGTTTCTTTCGAATGGCTATAAAGTTGCATTCACTAGCTTAATCAAAACACGGTTAAATATAAATCTTTCTCAAAGGAATGTCAGTCTGCATCGCTGATTCGTTTTTGAGTTGATTCAAATATAATAGCGACTTGGTACACTTCTGCCGCCAAGGGATACAAACTGTGACAGCTCAAGTTCAGTGTCAAATTTGCCTCAACACCATTTTAGAGTTGAACACAAGTCCGTTTGAAATCAAGCATTGTTCTAACCCACTGAAGTTTGAGGTGCACTCATTCTGTGGGCTTACATTGGTTGTCATATTATCACCTCATCAAGTTGTTACTGCAAACATGAGCGCAAATTGTCCAGCAAACCAAATCAACGTTCAATTGGCATTCTGGCCATGTGGAGAAATGTCAGTACAATATTTCTCTCCTTTGAGCTCTGCTTTGGTCTCCACCGACTCCTAATTTATGTCTTTAGCTACTAAATGTTTCATTGTGTCCTTCAGCAAATCTGGTTCGGGTTGAGAAAGCAAAACTGAGAGCTGTAAGAGGATTACAAAACGTAATAAAAGTGGGACTGATAGGTGATCAATTTCTGTGGGTTGTCACTTTTAGCAATCCCTTTCACATTACACATTGTCATTCAATTAATTGCTAATACAAAAATATTCATTAGTGCATCTTCGTTTTAAGTTTCATGTCGATTTCCTAATGTTTTGAAGGATACATGCATACAAAGTGAAAGGGTTTCATATGATATGACCATATGACCTCACTGCAAGCATCATTAAGAATGTGATATACTGTAGTGTGTACAAAGTTGTTTTCAATGTCAAAAACATAACGTAAGGAGAATGTCAGGAGTATAAGAGGTTGTTACCCATAATTCCAAGGTAAACCCGAAAGGTCCTGATCTCGGGTCTTAACATAGAATTAGGGTAATTAAAAGCATCACGGGCGACGGTGGTGCGTCTGCAGACCGATGTTTTTCAGACTCAGGCACTACATTCTGCAGGCACTCGAACATCAGGCGCCTGAAATGAGGGGTTATTTCTTTCTGGAGAGTTTTTGTAGGACATTGTTCCCTCCTTTAGGGCTCCGTGTCCTTGTTTCTATCAACTTGAACACTGTGTCATTTTCCCATCCAAACAGTTTGCATCAGGAGAGCAGTCCTCCCACTGGGTGTGTAAATAAAGCTCAGTGTTGATGCAACCAGCTCTGTGCGTGAAAAGGGGCAACTAGGAAACAGTTCACCTTGTGTATTTGTTATGAAAATGATCACTTTCACAGCTATAATCATAACTTTTCATACTTTCACAACATTTTGAAAACTTTACGCAAGATAGTTTGGAAAATGTCTCATAAACATATTATTATTCATCATTTATTTCTACTGACTTTTTTGCATTTGTTCTCTCTTGTAGTGCTGGCAGTGCCCATGCCATCGGGCGACAACAGTGTTGAATGTTCGAAGCCCACCCCTCCCAAACCCTCTGTAGCACCTGCCTCCTCCCCTGCTGCTGCTGTCCAGAGCCCCCCTCCCACAGACGAGGGTAAAAAGAAGAAGCCAGAGAAAAAAGGTAGCGGCTGCAATAAAAAAAAAGTTCATATTTGTATTTGATATCTCTTCTGGGACATGTCTCCATGCTTTAATGTTCGAAAAGCTCTTTATTTCTCTCATACTGCCTGAGCTGCAGCACCTCTTTTCACCCTCTGTCTGAAACTCTGCTCTGATTGGTTAGCTGGCCGGCTCTGTTGTGATTCGTCAACCACTTAGAGATGTCCCGCCCCTTACTCTATCGCATACAATGTGTTGGAGCGCTAGCCAATAGAAGTGCAAGTGTCACATATGGCGCGTTTCCACTACAGCGCGGAGCACGGTTTAAGAGGGCTGTGACGTCAGCGGCCCGTCTTTGGTTGCGTTTCCACTTGGCCTAGTACCGGCCGGCGGGTCCTAATTCACAGTTTTTCTGGCCTCATAAAATCGTGGGTCTAGGGCCAGAGACAACGAGGCTGAGTCGGGCTGAGTATGCTAAACTAGAGAGAGAATCGCTGGCGTGTGTGGGAGAGAAAACTCCCTCTGAGGGGGAGCTTTGGGATTTTAGCTTTTGCAGACTATTTACATATATAGCACAGAACAGGAAAGGGAAAACCCCCAAAAAGCATAGGGCCCCTTTAAACCCCTCTAGATATGTCATTTAGTAATTAGTTAGTTAGTTTTTGCAAGACGGACAATATTAAAGCCATAATGTGACCTCTGATCCCTGTAGGATACATTCAGTCCTTTGATTTATTTTTCTTTGAACTGTTTTCAGTCCTTAAAAACTAAATTGAACTTCTCCAAACACGTTTTCCACTTGAATTCCCAATATCAGGTGATGATGGATGTAAGGCAGAAATATCGGTTTCCTAATGGATTCAAGATCTCCGGGCCTCAGTATGAAGACGTTATGTGAAGCTTCATGTGTTATGAAGTTCCATGAATTACAAGCTACATTTGTGACAAGGCGTTCTTGTCTAATCCAGTAATTGAATCCAATTTGAGAATGATTTAATGTTTCGTTGACGCTTGTCACTCTAGGGCACCATTATAAAACCAAAGTGTCCCTATGTGTCAAATAAAGCATTTTACATGTATTATACAGTTAGAATACAAAACAAGAAAATCCATGCCACGGAATTTCAATTATTTTGCAGTAAATCACCCAAATGTTTTAGATTTATTTCAGCAATTACCTATCTGGAATACTGAGAAGAACTGTCAGGCATAGACAGGAATAATTATGACTGGATGTGTTGACGAGGATTAGAACAAGATTTGAAACACTGGCAAATTGCAGTTTCAGGAATTTCTAACACCCAGATGTTAGCGAGGTAATGGCAGTCACTTATTTCTCTTCATAAGGTGTTGTTCAGACATTTATGTAACGGTGTTCCCCCTCTTTACAGTCATCACTTGTTAGACTTAGTGTAATGTTTTACACCGCTGTGCTGTCATCGCGTCAGAGCATTGATCACACGGAGAATAAATGTCCAATATTTAAGACAGAGGTTGGAATTCAAATTTGTCAGAGCTGGTTTTGGCTCAGAGCAATGATTTAAGACTGTGTGGTCACTTGATCAGTGCGACCCAGTGGAATGAATGTGAAAGCTAAGCAGGCGAGTGAAAGGTACCTCGTCTCTCGGGAGGAAGCATCTGCTATTCTGCTCTGTCATTGGATCACTTAGCACCCAGCCAAAAGTAGGTATCGTCATTTAGTCAAGGTATGAGCCCCACATTTCTTGGAAGAAGTGGAAAAGAAAGTCTATTCCTTTTTATATTTTTATTTACTGACGGCTGACTTGAAACGCATGCAACCCCGAGGCCTGTCATTGGCTGCTTTGGTTTTTATTTATGGGAGGAAATTAAGTCAGATTCCAGACAGATGCCCGGTATTGTTACAGCTATGATTTTGTTTTTCAAATGTTCCCTTGGAATATTCTCAGTGCTTTAAAACAAACATTTCCTCTAATATCACGCACACTTAGAAGTAATAGCATGAAAACTCTCACAGATGCCTAACCTTACCAACACATGATGGATGGCTACTGTCGGACTTTCTGTGTGGAAACTTCCAAATCAAACAAACCGTTATACAAACATTGCTTTTAAACAGATTAAATGCAATCATTTGTTATTTAAAATGTCATATTTGAAGTGTGTAGTATAACCATATTTGCCTTTTGTGTATGCCAGGAGGGGAGAAAACAGAGAAGAAGCAGGCAGCTCCCAGTCAAGAAGACGCCAAGGTGGACGTGTCTCGTCTGGACATGCGTGTTGGACGTATAATCACCGCTGAGAAGCACCCGGACGCAGACAGCCTGTATGTGGAGCAGGTGGATGTGGGAGAGGCTTCTCCACGGACAGTGGTCAGCGGGCTGGTCAAGCACATACCTCTGGAGCAGGTACAGTACAACTCGTGTATCTAAAACAATAGAAAATCACTGTTAAAGTACGGCTCGGACATCATATATCACAATATTTTAACCATATTCCTCTATATCGATATTGTAACCCTATTGGAGGTTTGACCATTGATGCTTTAAAGTGGACCTATCATGCTATTTTTAGGCAATAGCATAGGTCTCAGATATACGGAGGAAAAGAGAGAGGGTTTTATTTTCTGACGCTGCGTGAGTTCCCTGACACACCGGGGACACATATTTATGTATAAAAGACATCAAAAAGTGCATTTTGCATGATAGGTCCCCTTTAACCAAATATTTGACATAGAAATGAAATCTCTATGATATCACTTTATGGATATAATATCTATATATTGCCCAGTCCTAGTGTTAAGTGTCATTTGAGTGCAATTTGCAGGGTGGGATAATGACATTTTTGGAATATTCTGTGTAATTAACAGATGTTGGTTTCCAAAACTTGGTCACATGATGCCGCAAGAATCCAGAATATGTGGAGAGATTAAAAAACATTCGCTGATTTAGATTGAATTTTGAGTTATTATAGATTCCAGCCCGCGAGCATGTAGATGTCAAAAAGAACATCTGCTGGCTTCCTACAGGGTCTGCTTGTGGTGAGGAAAATGTAGCCTTTAATACAAATTAGCTTTATGCCTCCCCGCAGAGACTCTGTTTTAGAGACTAGACATAGAGGCAGTGCTGTATACATACTGTACGTATTCATTTACGGCTCACCAGGGTCATCATAAAGTTTTATTAGTCTATTTAAAGTTACTTCTTAGGTAAACTAGCTGACAGTGCTGCTTAGAAACTGCATGTAACTAGTTGGCCATTCATGATCTCCATCGTGTATTGGTGTTTATTTTGCTTTCACATTTATGATTTGCTCTTGGAGTACACTTATTTATACATGAGTTACTTTTATGGTCAACAGTATATCTATATTTGCCCCTTTTTATATTTAGACCAGGGAGCCTTTGTGCTTCACACTTCTGCATTATACTGTATGTAGACAGTGTGTATCATTTAAATGGAACCACATGCTAGCAGAAATCCTGTGTAACAAACCTTGTCAAGAAAAGCTACCATACCTATGCAAAGATACTTGTCTTCATGCACAGACAAACATTAGACATTAGCTTGTTCAAAGAAGTTGACACTGTTGCAGCAATGGCATTTTTAAGCACAGTCTTAAAGGTCCCATGACATGGCCATTTCTACTGATCATAATTCCATTGTTGAGGTCTACTAAAATAAATGTATATTGCGCAACAATTTTCCAAACTCACATTGGTTTCTCATACAGCATCTCTGTATAGTATGTGTATTCACTCTCTGTCCTAAACGGCTTGTTGGAGCTCCTGCCCCCCCCCCTCCCTGTGAGCCCAGTGGCCGTCTGCGAGACAGCGAGATACAGCGAAACCCAGCCCGAAACACACACACACCCGCAGCCTGGCTGGGAGTTTGTGTGTGTGCCCAGGCTGAGTTCCGCGGTGTCTCGCTGTCTCGCCGACCCCACACCAGTGAGCCAGCTCACAGTGTCCCGCTCCTCGCAGCAGCCCGCCGTGTGTGTGTGTGTGTGTGTGTGTGAGGAAGTCCGCAGATTTGTCCAAACGTAACGGCTCCGCGGACGTAATGTAACGGACCATTTGGACCAATCTGCGGAGCCGTTACGTTACGTCACTATACCCGAAATACGTCACTATACCCAAGAAGTAAACAATGGAAAAAGAGAAATCTCCAACGAGGCGTTCTGGGGCAGCATAGACTGGTCTTTTCTGTGTTAGAGTTTTACTCGCTACAGGGTGTACTTTGAGGGTTTGCAGACTGTTAACATGCATACAAAGATACATAACACACAAGGGGACGGGTGATAACCAGAAAAGCATGACATGGGACCTTTAAGAGAAAGAAAGGAGAAACTAATGCTGACTTTAGTTTGTCTGCATAGGTCCATTACTCACAGTCTCAAATCAAGTAATTACTTTCCTTCATTCTTAACTTTCTTATTTGTAGGATCCATTTTTTGTATTTCTGTCAGACGAGTGAAATATCTGAGGATTTGTTTTATGGATTTAATGGCAGTACTCTTGAGTGTCTGTACTTCCCGGATAAATAATAGGTTGTTATAAAAGGAGACAGGATAATCATAAAATAAATGTTAAGCGTCCACAGTGCACATTAAGCATTGCTCAAGTCAAACAGTGTGTTTTATATAGACTGTTACAGAACATTCACATACTATCCTGACTTGAGATTAAATATAAAAAACAACTACTAAAACCCCGTCCAAGCAACATGAGGGATTTTAGATTTATGAAGCCATTTCTTAGAGGATGCCCCTCCAAAAAGGACTGCTATACATCATCTAGACTAGAGGAATGCTGGATTTCTCTTTTCCTCAGCTTTGCCAGAAACCGCTTCTGGCCTTTTTTTAAATGTTGGTAAGCCGCAGAGATCTCCAGGCTCGCCTTTAAAACGTTTCTTGCTTGCTCCTTTTGATTTGGTTAAACCTCTGACAACGCCATTTTAAATCACGAGATTGGAATTATTGTTTGTATTGGATTATGAAGTTCTCTGTCAGACCACATCAGTTAAAGGTGTTTTTTTTAGCTTGAGTAAATTGGGTGTAATTCGTTTTTCTTCTGTATTGTCCAGGGCATATGGGCTGTAAAAGATGTATTTAATCCTCTGTTCCTCCGTGCAGATGCAAAACCGCATGGCAGTCCTGATGTGTAACCTGAAGCCAGCCAAGATGAGAGGAGTGGTGTCCCAGGCCATGGTGATGTGTGCCAGCTCCCCAGACAAGGTGGAAATCCTCGACCCCCCGAGTGGAGCAGTACCAGGGGACAGAGTCACCTTCCAGGGCTTCCCAGGTACCAAGATTACTCTACACTCAAAAACAGATTCATTATTTGCAAAAAAGTTCCAATGTTAATGCAGCAGCTTAAACCAAAAACAAATGCATCAAAAACTGGTCTCAAAATAAAACTGCTGCTGAGGCACCAGATGGAAAATCTAACTCACGGAATATTCCAATTTTCCAGACAAGAATTTCGATTGTGTAGTTTATTTTTCAGCGTGTTTCAACAACAGTACAAAGAGCAATGGTTTACATGACATGCCTGCTGCTTTGCTTTGTGTCTTAAAATAAACATATGCGCTTGTCAGTGCCTAATCGTACACATAATCACCCTGTCCAAAATCACCTGGTGTCTTCAAAATCAAAGCACATACAACTACTAATTACGGAAACAATGACACTAAATAATTATCCCTTTTACCTTTATCAAAAACAGCAAGAAAATAAATGTTTAAATATCCCGTGGGGCCATAATGACTTATATCAAATCATTGAATAGCTCCAACAGTTACAACCAATTCCCATCGTACAGACACCAGGTACTGAGTGGCGATCAATGATGTCATGGGATGAATTCCACTGTAAAACGTTTCCCAGGCTAGTTTCCACGAAAAACCTCCTATTTTTGGAAATTAAGGGTGTTGTTTAACCTTCTCGCTGCCAGAAACAACACCAATCATGATGCGTCCTCATCCCCACTGAAGCTCTCATTAGAGGACCCCCTGGTTCTGTTTGGTGGTGGCTTAATGGCCTGTGACTGCTTAATCAACGCGTGTTGCTAGGAATGCAAGCTGCTCTTTTTTTAATCGTCAGTCGGAAAGATAAGTGTCCTAATAGTCTTTTTAAGTCCTACTAATGTAAATACGTTTGGAAAATCCTAATCCCTATTTATTTACACATCAACTAGACCATACAGAGGAGACAAGGTCCCTTCTTTGAAGCGTTAAAACTCAACCTATCAATATGCTCCAAACTGTAAGACTGTCGCCAGCGGGCTGGTATGTCTGGGATTTGAGTCTGAAGAGGAGGATGTGATGAAGTTGGATCTGTGGTCGAATACCCAGAGCCCAGCTGAGGCTTTCATCCCTGCATTACACATGTCCCGGCCACTTGAAAAGCTATAAGCATCTCTTAGGCTGCACTCATTTTTATGGATACTAGATTCAAACCATCCTCGGAAAACTTGATTGGTTTGTCATGGTGTTGAGTTATTCTTTGTAACAGTACAAAATTAGGCTGCTTTCTGAACCGATACAGGGTAAAATAATAGGTGCAATCGTTTTTTCCCCTTCTTTCTCCCACCATGGTTCAGATTAAATTACATCAAATCCACTACCGGTGTGAGAACATGATTGTAATTTGGCTACATTTCCCCAACTAATGGGGCGCAGTACCTCTTCTTGAACTTTCTCAGAGAGAGTTCTCAAGTTGCTCATCAAAACCTCCTTCACGCTTCTGATCAAAACTGATCGTTGCCACTCTTGGGTCGTAAACCGGCAGAAATGGCAGTGTAAGGAAATGAAACACATTTGTGTCCTCCTCGTACCCTGAGATGGTTATGTAGAGAGGAAACAAATCTGACACCAGACAGAAGCCGCCCAGTACCGGCTGTCATTTATTACAAATGTTGGGCAGCATCAAAAGCAAAGGCATCGTGAAGTTAGAAACTCACTTGGTTGTTTTCTCTGGATGCATATTTCCACTCTGAGAAGTTTAAAACCAACGGAAGTTTTATAAAAGCTAATAGAACATGATAGAAAGTCTGACTATTCATGATTCACATGGGAGGAATGAAATTGGAATTGGCCCGATAAACCACGGTCATTTGTATCAGCTGTAGTTTAGATTGTATCACTGTATGCTTGCTATAAAAGATCTATAAATCCTTCATGTGTGATGGATGAGCCGACAACAGAGGAGTGTCTAATGCATCAAACACACGTCTTGCTTGCAGGTGATCCAGACAAAGAGCTGAACCCCAAAAAGAAGGTGTGGGAGCAGATTCAGCCCGACCTGCGCACGGACGACCAGTGTGTTGCAACGTACAAGGGATCTGCCTTTGAAGTCGCCGGCAAGGGAGTGTGCAAAGCCCAGACCATGAGCAACAGTGGAATCAAATGAAATAACAGAGCTGCTTGAAATAACTTGAAACAAGATGGTGATAAGCGAAAGTAAATGCTTCGAAGATGTTCAATAAAGGGTTTTGAAATTAAACATACTTTTCAAAGTGTCTGAACAATCTGTCCTTTAACAATTTGTTATGTTGTGACCGCTGGGATATACAGAGTCATGGTCTATAAAGTTAATTGTGTTTCTGCTTAACATTTCCAGTTTCGTCTTCTCTCTCCGGAGGCACATTAGCTTGATTGTGCTTTGATTTTGAAGTTATAGTTTGTAAAGGACATTAAGTACTGGACTGGAATGAACATAATTTGTTTGTACTTCATCTAGTCCCGGGCAGTTTAATGAGCACAAGATGAAACGGGGATGTTTTACTACAAAGCCTAAAGAAAATGGATCGGGTTCTGGAGCTAGTTATTTAGATGCTACTCATTCCCAGCTCTCCGATCTGTCAGTATCCCAATGTGGGCTGTGTGATGCCAGTGCAATGTACTTGTGTTTTATTGTCCTCTTGAAAGGAGAAGTCTGCCCACCTCCGGAAGTATCTGACTACACAGAAAGAGAAACAGACAGCTGAGCAGCAGAGCCTATAATGTTACATCAACAGTAATTAAGGCCATTCACTTTACAAAAACATCTGTCATGGGTCAAATCCTATCATCGCGCAGAGCTTACTGAGTCCAGTGCTTAAGAAACCTTTAGTTTATTCTCTCTTTCTTTGGAGAAAAGGTGACATGCATGTGCTGAGAAACAACTACACCATAAAACTACAGGTAGAGTCAATTAAAATTAGATAAATAACAGTGTTCATCTCCGAATATTTTGGAGCTTATGCAGAATTAATTCAACCCATATTGCTAATTGTCTTTTGCCATCTGCCCTTTTCATATTAATACAGGATGACTTTTAACAGTCTGTCAACATTTGAGTAAATAGGCTCGAGTTGAACAAAGGAATCTTGGCAAAACACGGAGAACGCAGCTGTTAAAATCACATGGCACAACTGTCAACAAAGCTATTACTATGAATCGACCTGTAAACGGATCATTTTAACAAACCTAAATCTGCAGCTCTGAACTGCTGCTGCTGTTAAATGTGTTCCTGATAGATGGTGCAGTACATATTTGCTTTCTGGGGTTTTCCCTTTCCTGTAGTGTGTTAAATAGGTTTTTGTCTTTGATATGGGAGGCAGTGGGTTGTGCGTTGGTGTTCGGATCAGGGGGTCACAGGTTCAAACCCCACTGCAGTCAGCATGTCGTTGTGTCCCTGGGCAAGACACTTCACCCCAAATTGCTCCTGTGGGGATTGCCCACAGTATTGAGTATGTAAGTCGCTTGGGATAAAAGCGTCTAACAAGTGACATGTAATGATATCTAACCCCTAAATGATTTTTAAAAGTGTCCTTAGGTGGTTATATGGTTTGCAATGATTTAATCCATCCCTCTCAGCACCCATATTTAACTACTTTAGAGACCATCAATTAGAAGAGCCTCTCATTTTCTGGTGACAATATTTGATCTTCACTAAAATGTATTCTCACCTGAACCACAGACGTATTCCTTGTTATTTTGTGGCCATAATAAAGGTTGAAATCTGAGAGAAAAACTCACTCCAGGATATTTAGAATCAGATGTTTGCAGAGCACACGTTTCCTAATTGAATCTTCAGCTGTAACTGCTTTACACTTTGTGAAGCAGTGACCTATTTGTCCTAAAATCTTCAAATGTTTCTGTCCACGTTAGAGTTTTTCTGTTCACTACATCTTCATTTCTCTATTGGGATCCAGCATTTAAAGTGGTCTTTAGTCAGTAAGGTGAGTTAGTGGGGCCATAATAACTGACAACACACTTTGCCAATGTTCTCTGATTAGTAAAACATCAAAAACTTTGCCAGGCATTTTTGATGTGTTTTTGTCAGTGCCAGAAGCTAAAATAAATAAGACCTGTAGGTGTTGCTGCCTTACTTTATCCTCCAGGTTATTGTGTCCTCGAAATGACCTAAGCAAAGAAAAACAACTCTTCCAGCAGGACTTAATAAAGGTGGACAGATACAAAAACGACACCTTCAGGCATGATTGAATTTGAAAAATAGGAGGAGGCTTTTTGGAAAAACCCAAACGACTCTTTTGATGTGAAACTGCAAACAGAACTATGTTGGTTCGTAACTATGACTAATAGGCAGACATAATATTATTTTTCTCTCAACGTTGGGTTCAAATGCCACAAAGAGTGACCGAGCAGCCAGAACACCATGAAACAGCAGGGGCCATGAGGAATATATTTCTCATTTCTGAGGCCAAGTAGTCAGTTTGTGGCAAGGCGTCAAGTCAAATGACGACAGGTCTTTAAGAGGGAATGCAAACCTCTGGGATAAAAGTCATGATTCATGTTGGACAGCATGAGTTTGGACAGCACGATTTAAATTTCAATATTGCAAGATCTGATTTGGTGTGAATTAAAACATTGTGGGTTTCTTGATTACTTCAAGACCTTTTGGACGAGGGTAGGGTCCTGTCAACTTGATGAATGTGTTATTGTTTTTTTTAAACATTTCCCCCAGCTTGTTTTTGATGTGTTTACTGTCAGGCAATACATTCCCCAATGCATGTTGACTTGTGGTGACGGACAACAGGGTTTTTAGTATATATAACTCTATATCAAAGACACCGTTTTAGGATATATTTGTTGGTGTTGGACAGTAGCTGTTTACTGTAGCCTGTTCCTTTAAACACAGTTTTTGTTATTTGAATGCATCGTGTTGCTTTTACAACAAGCAATAATTCTAATGGTCTTACATTTTTAGCTCAAAGTAACAAGACTCTTTATGTGAAATATGACTTTTGCTTAGCCACCATTTGTCAATCGTAACTACTTAGCTTGTTTAGTGCCTAATAGAGCACCAAGCCACACTTTTCTGTTTTCACCAAGTACATTACTATTGTGTCTTCATCTACATCTAATAATTAAATGCTCACAAATATCTGCCAAGCCAAACTTATGGCTTTACTAACATGTTTACCCTGGAATGACAATTCTCTTTGAACATTTATAAAAGTATATTTCAGTGATTAAAGCTGATTATGTGCTGAGGAACTCCACAAGAATGCCGACAGAAACACAGCCAAGTTGTTTCCGCTACCCATTGTCCATTTATTTGTCTCGTAAACATGTATTTCGAGTTGTGTCTGGTCACCTGATAAATGTAATATTCTTATATTTTCTCTATTTGTGACACTCTTCTGGGCAACTGTGGCTGTAAGGTGGTGAGGTCTATCAATCAGAAGGTTGTGGGTTCAATCCCATGCCTTGGTCTCAACATGTATGTTTCTTTGGGCAAGATACAGTTGCTCCCGATGGCATGAGAGGTGAGATGGCGCATTGTTTGGCAGCCTCTGTATGAATGCTTGCAAACGTGTTAATGCAGACTTGTATATGTAAAAGTGTAGTAAAGACTGGAAAAGCAGTGCATTTACCATTTACAATGTTGTTAGGACCCCTACAGCTATATGTATCTGGGTCATACTCTTCCTAGAGGTGAGACTCAACTGTAAAGTAAAGTGGTCGGTAGTAAAAACCAAAACAATGGGCTAAAAGAGGTTAAATAGCCAGGTGTATAGCTGCAGAGGTGAGTGATAATTTGCTGTGGTTTTCTTCAATGCGTGGGACCTCTTTAACATTACAAAGTTATTTCATTTTTGCTTGTGCTCATACTCTGTGCTTTATATGAGTATAATACAAGTGATGTAGTGTAAATGGCAGTGTTTGAGAGAATGTGTCACAACATCTTGCAAATATCTTCATCTTAAAAGCCACTCTGCATTTAAACTCCTCAGCAAAGGCCTGATTGATATCCTGGATTCCCTGAGGAACCACCACAAACCATGGAATAATGTACCACTTTAAATTCTTTGATTTGATTGATTGTGAACACACACCATTGAATTGAGCCCAAGTCTAAACTGTTCATTCAGAAATATGGTGTTTACAAATCAAAATACTCACAAATAACACATTTTTGTGACAGACAGTGCAACACAATACCCTCTAGATCCTTCCACACTCAATCATGGGTTAGGAGATTATTACACAACGGAAATGGGGAACCAGAATTGGATTAAGATTGTCAAACAAACCAGCCAACAAATTAAAACAATCAACAGCTTTGATAATAGCTGTAGATGGGCAGAAAGATATTTTGGGCGGAAAATACTGGAGCGATTCCTGATGGAAACACAAACCTCTGCGGACATGTGTTGGCTGGAGTTGAAAGAGCAGATCTAGCATGCTCCTCTGTGTGTGGTTTCATGCTTCACCAGCGTTCACAATGAACCAAATTAACTAAGCCTCCCGTTCAACTGGAGGACATTTATTATCCATATTATAGGCCCTTTTTATTATGTATGTGAGAGCACTGCCTTCATACGAGCCAACATGTCTGTATCTCCTCTGAGTGAAGAGAGTATTTTGATAGAAATCTGAAGAGCAAATGAATTTTCAAACTGGTAGCTTTAACAGTAGACTCCTGCACATTGTCTTCACTTGAAATGAATTGCTGTGACTTATTCTGTCATAGAACCTCAACTCCTGAGGCAACAAAAGACATCCACAGGATAACATAATATTTAAATTCTTAGGGAGCCGCTCACACTAACATAATACTTTATTATTAAGGAAACAGCTGTAAGCGCTCCTCAGTCTGTGCCATGTTGTCTGACGGGTCCAACTCTTAGCGAAATGTACATTTTTTCAATTGAAATAGCAATCCTACAATTCCATTTTAGGGGGAAACATTAATGATTAAAGAGATTACTGCGAAAAAACATTATGCCTGAAAATCATGAGGTATGACTCTCATTCCAAACGGTGATACAATAAGTGAAAAAAAGGGATTTTAATCAAAAAGAGATATAAAAAAGACCTAAAACTGATATTTAAAAGGTTTGTTTATGCTTTCAATCATGTCCCACTGCACTGACAATGTGATTATGAAAATGTTGACGAAAATATGTATGTTAAAATGTTATGATTTGTATCAAAATGATCTAATTTGTACTTTATCTTACAGTCTTCATTGGCGGAATAAGCTGTTTGACACTAA